ACGCTGTCGTGTTGATAAATGGAAATGTGGAAAACAATTTGGTGGTTAAAGAGTGTGTAAAAAAAATCAACAGTGCACACTAATGTTGCATCTCACTGTTCTCTTCATTTCTTGGCCCACCTTGTTATTTTCTGTCTCCATCTCCTTTGGCCTTTCTGCCTGAATTAGGGTCTCTATTCCAATACCAATAATTGCACTAGGCTGAGCTGAGAACCCACACATTAACAGTTCAGCTCATGCTTGAAAGCCCCATTAAGAGGAAATTAGCATTAAATACCAGCCATTTGGACCTGAAAATGATTAAACTATTGCTAAGCCAACCCTTGTCAATTCCACCCTGAAGCAAAAAATTATCAGGGAACTCAATAAATCACTGCAATCTTTTAGACTCTGGAATGCCCCAAACCTCCGGTTTTTTTNACATTAAACATATAGAAGCAATATTCTCAGTGCTTAAGGTTTCAATAGCATTCATCTTTTTTTTCATTTTATGCTTCTAGACTTGAATATGAAATTTTCAAAAGAGTATTGCATTTTGGCTTCACACACAGGTTGTGCATTTGTTTGTTAATCCATATCTCAATTTCAAAGCAAGGGCCCACAAGAGCTTGCAATTAACTCTTAAGTTTTGCTTTAATAAATGATGTACATCGGGTAACATCAAGAACAAAAATAATGTTTCTCTAAAATTATATTTATTAACTGTACAACAGAAACAGAAAATAGCTGTGCTTAAAAAGCATAAACATTAAAATGAATGCAGTACACTACCTCCTAGTAATCATCAAGGTTGCTTTTTCATTTCCAGTCTTACTCTGGCCCTCAAATCAAGTAAGCTTCTAAATATTTATAACCACAATTCTTACGAGGGTAGACAGTAATCTGCAGCAGAACCTGTCTGCATACATTGTAAAATGTTCTGTCACCTCAGCAGGGTAGCTTGCCTTCAAGGTTTGTGCTTTTGCCAAAAGCAGTGGGTGCTAATGAATTTATACTGGACATCTTTAAAATTTAGAATGCTTCTAATTTTTTAAAAAAAGAAAAATTCAACACAACTCGCACTTCAGGCTCGTCCGTACAACACAAAATCGCTATCATGATGACAGTTAAAATAACCAGATGAGAGCACAATTTGTCACTGCCATTGTGTGGTAACACCATGTTGTGATTTCCTCACCAGCCTCTTCCCTGAATCTTTTAACTCCTTAGGGAAATGTATAAATAAAGGTGTGGATGGAAGAAGATAACATAGTTCTTTATGAAAATGAACTCAAGACTGACTACATTGAGGTCACAACATAAAAATCTCATAACCCCACACCTCCCCCCGAAATGTGCTTAAAAAAAATTCATCAAACTACACTCCCACCCAGGGCAGGTTGTTCAAAGTGACACACTGGGACATGTCGCATGTGTCAAGTACCGAAGGCTGAAGTACGAGGCAATTTCTGGGAGCAGGAAAGTGTTCTCTTAAAGGAACGTAGCCATGGCAAATTCAAATGGTCTCTTGATACTGTCACTGAAGAGTAATGACTTGCGCTCAGCTGTACGAGAAGCTAATGTTGTGTGACTGTGCCACCCTTCTCAACTCACAACCTCTGCTGAAGCAGCTGATTCCTTTTTTATGCAAAAACCTGCAACTTCTGCATTTCAATTGTCAATGTTATTTAGAAAGGATACATTTAATTGATTCTACACGTCACTGCAGATATGATACTTTTTATTTACATCCGCACATTTAATTTTGAAAAAAATGCAACAGAATAAGAATAATATCATCTATATTTCCAAACTCCCCATTATAAAACATATGCATCTATTCACTATATCCTATTATAATGTACAAACACAGTACATGTATAAAAATCTACGCATTAGATAGCATTTTAATATGCAAGATGAAGCAAATTAGCCTTTTAAAGGTCATCTTAATCTGTTCTGTATTTTATCACTGAAGAGCTAGTTTCTATAAGTCGCATTCCATTTTTTTTCTTATTCCAGGATGTAATAATACATTTGACTCCATAATGTAATAATGCAATAATGCATTTTGTTCAACAATACAATGTAAAATAAAATAGGTATACAGAAAATATCCCATTAAAATCAAAATATTGTTTTTGGTGTTTTATTTCTGTGGGAACAAATGAATAAACATCAGATATATCTATAAAACACATGAATCTGACTGAAAATATTTCTTCCAAAATACAAGATAATTTGAATCAAATGCTCTTCACCTATATAAATTTGATGCATAGTGTGCAAACATTCAGATATTCTCTGCATTGAACTGTTTTTTTTGTATTTTAATGCATCCTAGATTCAGAATATATAGGATTATAAACTTACAACAATATCCTTTGTGTTGAAGTAAACGTTGGTCAATTGATTTCTCCGAATTCAATGGATAAAAAATGAGAAATCACAATCACAATGTCCCAAATTACACCATCACACGCTCTGTAACCTCGCTTCTTTAAATAAAATGCATTTCCTTCTCCCTTATATTCATGCCACAAAAAAGTCAGCTGGGTAATCTGCTTTTTTCCCTAATTTTAAAACAGATTGAGACTTCCTCCTTCACTAACTGAATAGCAGATACACTGCTATCATTTTCTACCAAGGATAAATTATAAAGCAACACCACCAATGTCTTAAGCCACTATTGCAGAATACTGAACATTAATTCTGTATTACACTGACATTATTTGTTTCATTTGAAGAAATATACGTAGGAATATCCCATTTAAAATTCTTTAGTTCATTGCATTTATTTAAATATAAGTACAACTCAAGTTCTAGCTAACATTTTAATATAGTAGTACAAACAAATTTTGCTCAAATTTGCCTGCTATGTTGCAAATCTATTAATTTATAATGAGGTCAAAAAAACTGCATACATGGGGAAACCTATGCATCATATCAGTGGGGTCACTGAGGTTCGAGAGTCAGGACAGAGGAAATAAACTAACGCAATCATCTTGGCATATTAAACAGGACAGTGTATATTGCCAACCCTTCCATGATTGGCCAAATAGCCTCTCTGGGATGTCCTGGACACATCCTGACTCATTGTGACAAATGAAAGATTACAGCCTCGTGGTTAACAGACCAACGAAAATGTTTTCAGTATGCCTTCACGATTTCATAACATAAAAACATTTCCCGTGCACATTGAAGTAAGCAGAATATGTAAATAAAAACATATTTTACCTACTCTACATTATGCACAATTTGTAATGATACAATATATCAGCTGGGCTGAACTATTTGTGATTAAAAATCTTAAAATATTACTAGGTAGGAGCTTGGAAGGCAATCATTTAGGAGAACTCTGTTATAATACGCTATTTCAAGTCCATAAATCCAACATGACATTATAATAGGGCAAAAAACAAAATGGCTTCCACTAACTTTGCATCTTTTAAGACGCTCAATTGCGCTGAATGCAATAAGTATGGCCAACTCCATTTCCTGTAAGACCAGCGTATAGGAAAGGCAGCAACTGTATTCAGAGATCCAATACACCACCACATCATCGCAAGCTTGCAAAATAGGAAGGCGTATTATAACTGGGATCGGCCTGTAAATTCAAATTTATTTGGGCTTTGTCATTTCTGATAGCTTCTAAAAAATTGTTCTATACTTTGCACGTCTTACACCACCCCGTGCCTATTCTATAAAGGTGAAAAGATAACCATGGTAGAAATTGCTTAAAGCAATCTAAAAGACTGATTGTGTGGTTAAGAAATCAAAGTCTTAATTTGGATGCTTCTGACATGTTATAGACTTCCTAAATCTGATTATGTGGTTTTTTGAATTTACATTCAATAAATAAATTCATGTGGTACATTTACCCAATGAACCATTAAGGTATGAGTACGACTTCCAAAACATTGAAAAATTCTAGAATTTATTGTTTATAAATACACACACAATAAAATGATTTTAACATTGCAGTTTCTGAATAGTTACACTGTAATTTATTTTACTTTGTAAACTGACGTGGTTAACTAAATATCAGGATAAACCATATTTTCATCCATGACCCCATTGATTTCCAGATTATACGTAAATTCACAGATGTGAAGCTCAGCAATGTTTGTTAACTTTACGAAAGCCAAATAAAAGCATAAATTTGCCAGTGACAACACTATACACAGAATGTAAGAAACATTTCACTTGGTCACATTGTCACTGATCTTTGGCATCCCAGGCCCTCCTCAATTTAGAGTACACCTGTGTTTTAGTTTGAAGTCAGTATCTGGAGGGCCAGTCAGATAAGTTCACCTCTGTTAATCTCCCGTTGAAACTGACCATGGGAGAAAGACCAAATCTGACAACATGTACCGAGCCCCTAATAAGAAGGTAAAATGTGAGCAAAGTCCAGTTATGATACATAAGTGGACTTTGCTCTAATGTTTCTCTCCACATCTTCTGAGGGAAATGAATTATGGTGGGGTGAAGTTCCCCAAACACCATCGGCCCTCCATTATCCTGTCTTTGTCAATTCTTCATGCATGAGCCAGAACAATGAAATTTGCAGTCAATTAAACTTTGACATCACAGCCAAGCCAAAATTCCCTCTGCTCCTTACATTCACACATAAACACTGTCCTGTAGAGGTTGCTGGAGTGCTATCAAGAGCAATGACTTCGGTTGATTTTTCCCCTTTGGCCCAGAGGCCTTGAAGTTTCAAACAGTTCAAAATATATGAATGATAACCAGCTCTTTATGCCAAACACTAAAAGATCTAAAACAATTAGAATGGAACAAAAAAACTCCAGAATAGAACCTATCAACTGAAAAACACTGTTTTGCAAAATTATGAGGCCTTATGACAAAATACCGGAAGAAAAATATTGAAATATCATAATGAACTGACATATTTTACATGGTAATTAGATCATCAAAACATTATTTGATAAGAATCAAATCGGAAATTTCTAAGATTAAAATTATTTTGAAACTTCCTACAGTACCAAAAGAATCCATACCTCTTCATTCAAGGCTTTAATATTGCTCTCCAGAAGGTGTATATCCTGCAGTTGGTTCAGATTCTCTGCGTCCTTCAGAGCCACGTCATTGTGAAGTTCAGTTATGATGTCTTGCAATTCCTGAATTTTCTTATCTTTGTCAACTACCTACAATACAGACAAAATTTAAATCACTATATAAAAAAAGGTTTTAAAAAGTTAGAATGCTTCATCAAATATGACTCTACTCATTATGTTCCTGCTTTTAAAGTACTTTTGTACAAACTACAACACTGAACTGAAGATAGCTTTCTCTCAGGGTACAACTCAGCGTCAGACAATAATACAATAATCCTTCCATTTGATATAGCGCCTTATCGTGTCAAAATGTCTCAAGGCACTTCATTTTTCTGTAAAATGCAGTGATTGTATGGTTGCTGCATTCGCCTACAAATAACACATAGTACCAACAACCAGGAGGTGAATAACATTCTGAACTTGAGGATTATTGATCAGGACACCAGGAGTACCTCCCTTATCTTTTCAAGGAATGCCAGTGGATTTTTTAATGTCCACCTGAACACACAGTTCACAGTTTAAAGCCTTGGTTTAACGTCTCATTCGAAGGATGGCACTTCCAACACTGCAGCACTCTCCCAATGCTGCACTGGAGAATTAACCTAGCTCATGATCTCAAAGTCTCAAAGTAGGTCTAATATATTGAGCATACTTTTACCTCCTATTGAGATGGAAAGTCGCTCTATTGCTTGAAAAAATACGAAGCAGACATTACAAACTATTTTGTTCGCCCTCAAAGCTTTGTCTCAGCTATATGTAATTCATGCGCACAGAATATATTGTAAAGAACAAAACGGACTTGATGTGAGAACTCCAGCTCGAAATACATGAAAGTCACGGAATGGGTAAATCGGGTTGCATGTCAAGTAGTATGTATTCATGTTTCTAAGAAGGAATAAAATAGACTGGTGTCCTCTTCCTTCACAACTATACCTCCAGGTTAAACCAAGAATATTGACAAAATCCCAATCATTTAATAAAATTCACAATATAATCCCTCTATACCTCTCTACACAAACACATTACTGGTCATCTTATTTTGAGCACATTACACGATTGTGTGTGAATTAAAAATTAGTCAGATATTTAATAAAAGAAAATAATAGCTTTAAATTCTATTCTTGATCTGAATTGTACATCTGCTGGAGAACCTGGTTTTGAAACATTAGCTAGAAGGTCTGCAGTACCCTTAGGATTTGAACTGCAAATTTAAAAGCTCTTCAAAGATAAAAAAAGAACTTTGAGCTGCACTTCAGACAAAGCAGACTGAGCACTGGGAGATTCTGTATACCAGTAAAAGCTCGTTCCTCTTCCTACTTAACCTTCTCAAACCTGCCAGTGGCATTTTTACATCCCCCCAATAGTTTTATATATATTTATGTATGTTCATTATTTAAATACAGTACAACTGAACTGGATAAGGTTTTCATTTTTAAATTTGAATAAACTTTTCTAACTAAATTGATAAAAGTACAAAACCATTCTGTTATATTTATAGTTGTATTTATAATGTAGCATAATTTTGTACTATATTGTTTTCTCCATGGCCCTTCTCTCAAGGGCCATGAACTATGCAAACAAATGTATTCTGCCCTCCATTGATCAGTAATATTGTACCTGAAAGATGTACAGTATGGAATGGTTTGGGCAGTGACTAGATCTCCAATTGATTCTCAGTCCCTTCTTCCTTCAGGAGGACCAAGCTACTGCTAAAAAAATCTCCCAATCGATGCCATGACTGAGACTGTTCCACAACACCTTTATCTAGTACAATATTCATATTAGTCATTAATGTAAAATGTAACTTGTTTGCGTACGACCATACTAATTCAGTAGACTTTACTATCAAATGTGCGTAGTTTAAATTGATTGTATTTTTACATAAGAAAATAGGAATAGGCCATTCAGCCCATCGAGCTTGTGCAACCAATTCTATTTTACAGATTAGATTTTCCTTCCCTTCAAAAAAGATTTTTTCTTCCAGCTTTCACATTGATTTGGAAATATACCAAATATGCTACTGAGATAAAATCTATAGATATGATCTCAAAGAAGCAAAGTCTTACGTAACAAGAAAATGTTTCTATTTTTTATCTTAATTTGTGGATTCATAGTCTTTATCTTAATTCCTAGAGTAATTGGAATGAAAAAAAAATTGATTATAATTTTAATTTGAGACCTGAAGTGCTGGAATCCCGAAAGTGTTCCATGTGTACAGTACTTAAAATGCAAGTGACCAAAATTCATTTCAAGCTGGTATGGCCATTCATTTAAAATAGTTTATATATCTCAGGAGCAGCCCCTTAGTCAGTAATTACCATAATTGTAACATTACTATTATCCATAATGTCACAAGGTTTTTATCAGATAATCACCCTATCAAGCTTGTAGATGAATTCATCTAGCTATTATCCATTTCATTTTTGCATGTATGTTTATATGAGACAAAATGGTCCCATACAGTGAACCTTTAAAGAGGATACATGCACAAATTAATTTTCCTTTTTCTTAAATAACTACAACATTCAGATGTATTTCGATAATTGAATTATGAATTATTATTGCATTCCGGTCTAGACAGGTGCCAGATTCAAGTCTGCAAATGCTGAGGTCTGCATCAGATGATACACAAAGGGAATGTGTACAGTACATCCATTTCAATCGCTGTGGAATTAGTTAAGTACATAACACCAGGAAAATAGATTGTGTTAAATATCAAATAGAGCCTGATGGTTTATCAGAACTTCAGAATCCAATTATGAAACAAGCATTCTCACTTTTTAGAGTGGAGCCTTGCTTGCGTTGAAATTGCTGGATCTTTACAATTACATCATCTATGAGGCAGTGTTTCTCCTACTTTATTTAAAATGTGACAGCACCCTCTAGCCACTAATAAGCGATCCAAGATGCTGCCCCGCGTGAAGGGCGCTATATAAGTGCAACTTGTTGTGTTGTAGTTTAATTTAAAGTACAATGTAAAAAGAACAAGCAATCTAGGTTTTCTCATAGTACAATATTGAAATTGTATCAACACACACTCACTGCAATGAACTGAATTATATTTTAACAGACTAAATTGGAGTACAGTAATAATTAAACTCATTCAACAATCAACAAATTATTTTTAGGGAGTCCTGGATGTTTCAAATAAACATTTGCATTTAGTGAAGAATTGGCTTTCCTTAGGCAGTGCACGCAAAACAAAGTTGCAATGTTGATTACCACTACTTTTTCATAGTGAATAAAAAATTAAAATCTAACCAAATAGAGGAATCTGCAAGACCTGCAATAGACTTGTACATCAGATCAATACAGGTTTTCCCTATCTACTGAGTTCTTGATCTCAACTCCGTTGCTGTCTTGAGGAGCCAAGTATTGGTTAGGCACTTCACAGAGTGGGAATTTGGAAAGATGCTCATCTGATCTCAACTACTTCGAAGGATCATGGCACTGGCCACAAAAGGATTGAGACTCTGGAAAAGTGAGAAAGAAAACGGAGCAAATAAAAGCGTTGGGATATCCTCAAGGAAAAAAAATGAAGAGCAAAACTGGAAGATTGTTTGGCCACTAATAATACAAGGACCAGAGTGAAAAGAAAGCACAAGAAAAGGGAAGAAAGTGAAAAGGTTTAATTAATCGCTGTTCAGGTTTCTTTGTTCCTAATTGAATTTGATTCCAATGATATGTTGGTTGTCTAGGGAGGAGGAAAACAGGATTAAGCTCCTAGACTTGGGGTGGGTTATTCTTCATCTGGTTTCAGATGTTAATGAAAGCTCCCAGTGTTCACTCTTAGTTAGATTTTGGCTGCCTTGTTTCCCTTCCTCAACGACTTATCTAGTATTGCAAACCCTTAATGTACGTTTCAAGATCAACAAGTTTGCACACAAGTTCACTACATCACCAATGCATTTTCTTTTTATAAAAAAACACACAACTACTGGAGAATATTCACATTGCTATGCCATAAAAGTGACACATTTTCCAATTTTCAGGGGCGCATTTTTGAAACCACACTCAGTATAGTTAGTGTGATAAACAGTATACTGTGCTTTACAGACAGTATAGAGTGTTTAATTTTCAGTAATGAAGCAGACTGATTCACTCGCAACTTCTTCCCTCCCGAGTTACTCAATTAGTTTCCTCACAAAAATAAAAATCATACTTCAGAAGGAGTATTTTTCAAATAAATTCCGATAAACAAGTTGGACGCGGTGTGGGTCAGTTTCTTGTAGATTTTAAACACTAGCATCATGTTAAAAATTATCTCAGGAAAGATCTGACTAATGCATTACCCTTCAATACGTTAGCCTATATGAAAGGCACTATATAAATGCAAGTTATTATTATCGTATTCATGAAAGATTTTTAAAAAATCTATTTTATATTCCTCTGCCCTTGTGAATGCATGTGTAAATAATTTGGGGAGTGGGGGGAGGGGGCGAATTTCTTCCACAGAAATAACTTTAAATGGACAATGCTTTCAAATAAACAAGGAAAAGCCCACATGCTGCTCTAAATATCTAGTAAATGTACATATGCATGTGTTCACTCTCCATGAAATGGATTCAGAGACATTAGACTGTGAAAGAATATCTTCGTCTACTCATTTCACCATCTTTGAAGTGCTATCTGTGGCAGACTGTACTTTTGTGCGGTATCAATTAATATAAGTTTGCCATTCTTCATTTTGTAAGGACTAAAACAAGATAAATCCCACACTGTTAAGAAAACGTTTTTAAACGAGATATTCCACATCGAAAACATTTCTCTACATCTTTGTAGAAAAAGATTTTTAAATTTTATTTTGTCAATTTTTTGCATCCTTGAGAATAGAACTGCATTTATTTTCTCTGTGTGATACCAGCATCTGGATGGAGGGCGCTCGTGTATCATTATGTAGAGAATTTATCCATTTTAGTTTGATAGGAATCAGCTCGGCTCGCCTTCAATAAAAATATTCCTCCTCCTTCTCCCCCCCCCCCCTCCCACTCCCCAACTCAACTATGCTTTCACAAATCAGGAGCCGATTCACCATGGAACTCATCTGAAGGCACTCACTTCACCACGGGTCACTGAGTTGCACTGCTCTG